ACCATTTAAACAAAAATTTTTTATTGAACAATTTTTCTTTGCCAAACATTTACCTAAGGTGCGTGAGGTTGAATTTTTAAAACATTTGGGTTAGTTTTTAAATTTCTGGGACTTTTAGTAATATTTAATTTATACAACTGTCTGTCTATCTCTAAGTCAATTAGAATAGAGAATAAGGGATTTTGTAAATTAATGTGGTAATACCATCTGGAGATAGGAAAATATTACACATACATAACGTACATATGTACATACAGATACAAACAGACACAAACGGTGATCTTATGTCTTTCTTTCTAAATTTTCAGCCATGAGTCAGGCATAAACACAGAAATACAAAGCTCACTGTTTTATCTAAAAGCATTAGCTCTCATCATTGCCTCACTTTGTATATTTATCAGAATAGTGTTTCTGGCAGATGGGACAAGTCAAGGTTACCTGCTCAGTAAGAAGGCTAAAATTTCCCATTAATATTTGTAGCGGAGACTTCTCAGATTTTTCTTTTGCCCTGATCTGTAACGTTAAGGAGGACGTGGGCTGAATTTCAGGTGAGGGACCAAAGAGACATCAAGTGGACATCTGGGCATCTCCAAAACCATCTGAGTGGTTACAATATCCAAAGTGGTTCCAGTGGGCTTTTTCAAATTCAGGTGGCTTCTTATGGGGTCCCTGAGGCCCTCCATGAAGAACCCTCTGTGGGTGTGGAGTCCTGAAGCTCCAATGACTATAGGAAATTGAGGGGCTGGAGTAGAAGGGAAAGGTCGGGTGGGGCTGGATATAAGTCTGGAGGAGGTAGAAGTGTTGAATGGAGGCAGGTGAAAGGAATCAAGGGAGCTGAAGGGGAGCTCCGAGGCGGTGAAAGGAAGAAAGAGGGGTGGGTGAGGGTGATGGAGAGGGAGACATACTAGATGAGCCTGTTTGGGAAGATTCCGAGTTTCCTCAAGAGGCCATTAAGTTCCAAAAGATCCTCTGCGAAATGTTGCCATTTTTGGAAATATTAAGCTGAGCCAATGCTTTAATTTCTAAGCACGTAAACAGTGGGTAAAAATGGAAAGAAGGCACCTGGCAGAATGAGAGTTGTGCAAGGAATTAAGATACTTAAATGAAAGAGAAAAAACAAAATATTTAAAGAACCAGGAAATAGTCCCCTTGTTTCATTCCCCAAAATCTCTGGGTCTACAAGCCAAGGGAACAGTTTACACAATCCTCGAAATCAGGAGCCTAAGGACCTTGACACACTCCCACACACACACCCAGTTTCTGGGTAACAAGAGGTGGAAAAAAAAAAAAAAAACACCACCTCTCTTAATCTCCAGGTTTAGAAAGGCAAGAGAACCCTCCCATCCAATCTCTGTGTTCAGAGAGCCATTGGAACCCTCCTCAGTCTCCTAAGTTGAAGAGCCGAGGTAACCCCCTTGCACAATTTCCAGGTATCGATGGAATTACCATGTAGTGGCCGGGTTAGGGGAGCCTAGGAAAAACAGAAAAGGCTTCATCGAAAGCACAAGAAAAAGTTTATTTTCTAGAAAGAATGAAACTCCTTACTATGGTGTTACAAGGGACAAGAGTCTGGTCACTGAATTAGATGAGGTGATGTGACTCACGACAGTGGATCCCGATTTTCCCAGGCAAGAAAGGACACAAAGAGTTTGAGAAGCTGACATTGTAAACCTAGAAAACCCCTCACACTCATGTATACAGTGTAGAATTGACTTTGTTTTCCCTTTAAAACTAACTAGTCCTTAATGATTAACTGAGATTGTAGTGAAGGCAGCTGTCCATCAGGCTTGAATACCCTGCACCCTGTCTTGCCTGATACAACTCTCAAAGACAGTGTCATAGAATGGAAACCATACGAGACGTCAGCGCCATAGGTAATGTTGGGAAGTACCTGACCATCATGTCTGAAGACTCTACATCCTGTCTCCCA